TGTTTGATCAATTTCAGATTGAAGAAGTTGGTAGAATTCTTCTATTTCATCCTCCCTGGCTTTAGTGGTTGGTGCATACATTTGAATAATAGTGGTATTAACTGGGCTTCCCTATAGGCGCATGGATATTATCCTATCACAGCCAGCGTTTTACCTCATGACTGATCTGGATATGTTCTTTTTGACAATGAATGCAACACCCTTCCTCTTCAATTTGTCATTCCCAGCATAGTAAACCATGTGGTTGTCAGATTCAAAATGGCTAATACCAGTCCATTTCAGCTCACTAATGCCTAAGATATTGATGTTCATGCATTCCACTTCATTTTTGACAACTTCCAGTTTTCCCAGATTCATACTTCGTACATTCCACGTTCCAATTTTCAATGGATGTTTACAGCTGTTTCTCTTCATTTTGAGTTGTGCTCAATCAGCAAATGAAGGTCCCACGGGCTTTACTCCATTTGCTTCATCATGGTCAACTATACTTTGAGGAGGCAGCTCTTCCCTAGTCCCATTTTGAGTGCCTTCCAACCTGAGGGGCTCATTTTCAGGCACTATATCTGACAGTGTTTCTCTGCTCTTCATAAGAGTTTCAGTGAGTAAATATTCAGAAGTAGTTTGTCACTCCTTCTTCCTAGTGTGTCTTCGTCTGGAAGCCCATTTGAAACCTGTCCACCATGGGCGACCCTGCTGGTATTTAAAATACCGGTGGCATAGCTTTCAGAATTACAGCCACTCACAAACCACCACAGTATGACTAACTGACAGAGAGTGGTGGAATAACACCTATAGCAAGTACTAAAATGTGCCCCTAGTCATACACCTGACACCTTATCTTTTGGATAACTTTACCATAATATCAGAGCCCTGATGTGGTGCTGCAGGATAGGCACTGAACTGCTAACCCCCATGTGGACAGTTCAAAGTTCACCAGCTACTCTAGGAAACCCTTTACAGATTTGCTATGAGTCCAAACCATCTGGATGGCAAACAACAACCATTAATATAGGTTTGTTAATATTTTACCTAACACATTATGGTACTATATGAAAATTACAACTCACCTTCCTTGCTTTCACAAATGAAAAATTGCCTATGATGTGTTCAAATAATTTTTTAATTTTTTGCTCTTTCTACACAACAGACCAAAATCACATAGTCTGCCTTGACCCAAGGTGGTGGTATGTCGTGGAGTCGGGTCTGACTGATAGCGACCCTGCATAGGATTTCCGAGGCTGTAAAACGTTAAGGGAGGAAAAAGCCTCGTTTTTCTCCGGCGGAACTGGCAGTTTTGAACTTCTGACCTTGGGGGTTAGCAGCCTCACTGGTAACCACTACGCTACCAAAGCTCCTTCCTTGACCCATTGTTGTTGTAATTTGCTGATAATCTGTCACAGCTGAAAATAAAACGGCCGGCCACGGTTCTTAGGAACTGCTCAATGATGTCCCCTTTAAGGGGCACCCAGGGAACGTGCCATACCTTAGACACGCCTCTGACTGAAAACCTCTAATAGCTGCACTTCTAAAACATTTCTAAAAATTATGAAGACGTGCGTAAAGTGACATGTTAGCACCAACCCGTCATAGAAATAGGTATTACAAGGAAAAACCTTGCTTTCATTAAATGGAAGCTGATTGGAAGTGAGAAGAGTGGGGCGGGGATGCCCAGTCTAGACCCCGCCCCCGGCCGCACCCATTCTCCACCTGTCGCACCCATCCTGTGCTCTCACCGATCACTACGCCGACCAAGTCATTCTTCAATCTAAAGCAGAGCGGCGGTTCATCTGGACCAGCGGCCATAGTATCAGGGAGGCCGGAGATATCCCTCCGGCCACCAACTCTGCCGACCCTACGGCCCCCGCGACCTCTTCGATTCGGCTCCTCCGCCCCCGGACTTCTCTCCGGAGCCCGGGCCACTGCTGCACTTTGTCGGTAAACAACGACCCCGGAAACGGCGTTGTCGTCTATCTCTTGCTTAGACATGGTTCCGAATAAATAGATCCGACTCGTCAAATGGCGCTCTGGTCTAACTCGACACCACCTGACTGAGACGTCAAAAACCTGCTCTAGCCGATAGATCGAAAAGACCAGAACATCCACGTAGCGGCTACTTAAGGAGCCCCTCACGAGGCTCGCTCCGCCCCTATTCTCATCACGCTATGGCCGCACAACCATTGGCCGATGAGGTGTGATAGGCGGGACTTTCCATTTTTGATCAATCCCCTCTCTTAATCTTGAAGTGTGCCTTGAACTAGTCAATACTTTGACGGTGTTTTCCTTTGTAGGCTTAGGAGCTCTCATGTTGCGTGTCGCGCCGCTAAATATCAACCCCTGTTACTCCACTTTTCAATAAGTCCCAGAGGTTTTTGACACTAACAGACAAGTATCTTTTACACATAGAAGTATCCTTTACTATGTGACCCACACATAAAACATTTACAACAAAGGACTGACAAGATAGCATTTACAGTGCTATTAACTGGAGGAAAGAAGAGTGAAGAAAATTCAAGATGAAATTTGATCTAATGTGGACCACTTATACATCAGCCTCCAAGACCAACTGCTCTGAAAGAGATAACATAACATTAGAAGGTCCTGGGTAGAGAGGGTGAAAAATTATAAATTAAACCATGGGCAATTGGCATAACATACTTCACAAAGACAATATTCTACATACAACTTTGGGATCTCTAAAGCTCATGAGCAGTCATCTAAGGTGACCATTGGCCTCTTCCTGTCTTGAAAAGAAAGAGTGATAAAACTGAAGATTTTTGGGAACAATTAGTCTAATGGACTAATGGGCCCGTGTAAACATCTGTTTCCACAACCCTAAGACCAGAAGAACTACATGGTGTCTGACTATCACTACCAACTGCTCTGAAAGGGATCACAACATCATGGATAGAGGTGGAGAAAATAAGGAACAAAACTCAAAAAAAAAAAAAAAAGACCAGGCTTACAATGGCCAAATGAGGCTGATGGAACCCATACTGGTTTAAGTCTTTGGTTCCCCTTCAAATCTGGAACTGAACTCACGCCCATGGCTCAATTTTCAGAGAGCAATAGATAGGTATATAGGAGGGACAACAATATTAGTGAATTACACACTGTTTAGAATAGTCAACCATTTGAAATAAAAAAGGTAACATTTACCCAAGGACAAAGTTCAGAAGGGTTAGGAGAGAAGGAGGGATGGAGGCAGAAAACATAGGGAGGAAGTGGAAAAAGTGATGCTTCATTGAGTGGATTGCAATCAGTGAGATGAAACAAAACTGGCTTACCAAATAGAAAACTGATTTGCTCTGTACACTTTCGCCCAATTCACAATAAAAAGTTTTTGTGTGTGTGTTTTAAATACCATTAACTGCTGTAGTGTTGTAGGATAAGCACTGACTAACCATAAAATTGGCAGTTCAAACCCACTAGCCACTCTACAGAAACCCTATACCGGGATGCTATCAGTCAGAACTGACTAGACAGCACATAACAACACCACCTGAGCAAACCCATTGCTATCTAGTTGATTTCAACTCATAGTGACACTATAGTATAGAATATAACTGCTTCATTGTGTTTCCAAGGAGCACTGGTAGCATAGTGGTTATGAGTTGGGCTGCTAACCTCAAGGTCAGCAGTTCAAAACTACCAGCTGTTCTACAGGAGAAAGATGAGACTTTCTGCTCCCATAAAGATTTACAGCTTCGGAAACCCTATGCAGGGTTACTATGAGTCTGAACCGACTCCACAGCACACCACCACCACCACTACCATTGGGTTTCCAAGGTTGTAAATTTTTATAAAAGTAGTCCGCCACATCTTTCTCCCATTCATGAGCTGATCTTCTGATTAGCAGCTTAGTGCTTAATCACTGCACTATCAGGTCCTTTTGTTACATAAGTGGCATTTGAGATATCTAAGAGAATTTGTTTTTGAAATGTCCAAATACACCACATTTATTTCACACTCAATTAAAGCTAAGAGAAGCTACATAAATACTTCATACTGTGCCTGACTGCTGCAGTTTTACAGCTAATAAAACAAATGTATTAAATGCCTAAAGCATTCCAACATTGAAGCCTGGCACCCTCGAGGGAGGGAACATTCAGCTTTCATAAGAATTTTTTAATTTTCTGAACAAATTTCAGTTTAAACAGGTAGATGACCATTACAATGCTAAGGAGCACTGGTGGCGCAGAAGATAAAGTCTGTAAGTGGTTAACCGAAAGGTCATAGAAGAACCCACTAATAACTCTGCGGTAGAAAGAGGTGGTAATCTATTTCCTAAGAATTGTTGTTAGGTGACCTTGAGTCAGTTCCAGCTAGCAAGTCCACGGATTCTATGTAAAACAGAATTAAACACTGCCTGGTCCTGTGCCAGCCTCACAATCCTTCCTGTGTTTGAGCACATTGTTGCTACCAGTTTATTTTGCCAATCTATTTTGTGAAGGGTCTTACTCTTTTTTGCTGACCCTCTACTTTACACAGCATAATGTCTGTTCCTCCTGATAATGTGCCCAAATTATGTGAGACAAAGTCTCACCATCCTCGCTTTTAAGAACATTCTGGTTGTACTACTTCCAAAACAGATATATTCATTCTGATAATACATGGCATGTCTGATACTCTTCCATAATACCATAATTCAAAGGCATCCATTATTTGGTCTTCCTTATATATTGTCCAGCTTTCACATGCATATGAGACAACTGAAAATACCATGTCTTGGGTCATATGCATCTTACTCCTCAAAATGACACTTTTACTTTTTAACGTTCTAAAGAGATATTTTGCAGCAGACTTACTCAGTACAATGCATCATTTGATTTCTTGACTGTTGCTTCCATGGATGTTGGTTGGGATCCTAGCCAATGTACCGCTGCAAATATTTTTAAAATTATCTTCAGAGAAATTTCACTTGTGTGTGGTATTAATGATGTTGTCGTTGTTAGGTGCCATTGAGTCGGTACCAACTCATAGCG